CTTGTGAGGACACACCGAGAAGACAGCCATCTGCAAGCCAAGGATAGAGGCCTCAGGGGAGAACTGCTGGAAAGAAACACGAGGGAACTTTCATGAATAATGGAAATGTACTCTATCTTAACAGGGTGCTGGTTACATGGATATATATATAATTGTCAAAGTTTTCCAAACTATACACTTAAGACCTGTGAAATTTTATTGTAAATAAATGTAATCTCAATTAGAATAAAAGGAAATGGAAAAATCCTACAGTTTTCTTGACTTTCAAGTCAGTGCTATTTTTAAGACCCTACTTGACTGACATCTGTTTGACGTTACCAATCAATCACCATACGGACTTTGAAGGGACAAGCATATGCAGTTTTTAAATCACTAAGTCACTGCAGGCACTGAGGTCAAAAGGTTTAACTGACTAGATCCTTTCTGTAGGAAAATGGAGCAAGGACACAGAAAAATCAATATGTATAATGTTATATTAATTCTTTCAACAAATACATAATGAGCATCCACCACATATTAAGCAATGCTCTAGGAGATGTGGCTACAACAGTGAACATATGGGGTGCTTATATCCTAGTGGGAGAAATAGAAAACATAAATTATAAATAAATAAGTTATACAGTATTTTGAGATGCTTCTTTCTATTGTAGAGGATGGAAAATGTAGAGGCTCTCGTTTAAGTGACAATATTCCACATAGGATAGCAACTTCAACTCTCAATGCTAGTCTCTTGTATTTGAATTCCTTTTTTTGAGTGGCATGGGCAGGACAATTTAATCTACATGTCTTGGTTTATTCATAGCTCTGTACTATGCTTGTCATCTAAATTCTGTTGATAAAGGCATCAACTTTTAACAGACCTTTTAGCTCAGACTTCTGGGAATCAGTGTAGTATCTTGTGGCACCCTTCCTAGTGATTAAACATATAATCATAATGATGACGCTAATAATAAACAAACAGATGCTCTTTAGAGGCAAGGTGGAAACGGTTTCTGTACATGGGGTACTCTGACTTGCTTATTTCTTTGATCGTGTCACCTACACTAATCCATCATGGGCTTCAAAGAGCACCGACATCACGGCAAGCGCAGGTTCACCTAGAGGAACAACTAGGAGCTTCAGAGATTATTCCTCACTTCAGTTGAGTCTACAGTAATCCTCTTCCAGCAAAAGAAAAATGTGTTTGGGGCCCCCCAGGGAGCCTCAATCAGTGACAGCTGGTGAATGCTATATAACCTAAAAAAAACCCAAAGAGACAATGAAGGGCATGGTCAATGCCATCAGGTAAAACCAAATTACTCTAGCTTCAGCCTCTCTCAGACCCAGTTTTAAGGGGATTCAGAGAGCAGCGAAAGAGGAGCCAACAGGAGGTAGCTCTGAGTGTGGTAGGGGGCTCTGGGATGGCCGTCCAGCCTTATGTAGGAGTGCATGGTGACAAGCCCTGAGGGCTACCCTTTCAATTCTGGAGCATGTGTGCTCAGTGTCCTCACAGCGTCTGCTAGCCCATTAGCAGGTTGGAAAAACTGCCCTCAGCTTGGAGGGCTCCCATGAAAGGGAATCAATCAGCAATTGCTTGGGAAGGGAAGGTTCCAGACAAGCTGGGAGAGAATAAAAACACCGCTGAGCAGGGAAGAAAAAAGAGAAATGAAGACTGGGTGTTACCAGATTTAAGCCTCTGGCTTAAAAGTTCTTGACTCAAGTTTAGATCTTCCTAAGTAATATATCTCTTCGTTCCACATAGCTCAATAAAAGCCACTAAAATAGAGCATACCAAGCATTGATGATTGAAAAACAATTTATATTTTACGTGTAATTCTGACAGTACTGTACATATTTTTGGGATCACATGGTTGTTCCTTGAGACAAGAGTCTGGTCTTTCTTACATGTTTAATATCTACAAAGTTGACAGAACGGTGAGGGGGATAGGAGAGGTAAAGGAGGAGTAAGGGGCTGATAATAAAGATTCATGGTCCTGCTGTAAATATCCTATGTAGTACTTACTAATTAAAGGACAGTGAAAGAAACAAAGCATCTAAGCCAGAAGAAAAGTATATTAGAAAGTTCGGACATGTTAAAGAGGGGAAAGCCAGTAAAGAGACACTAAGCCAGGCAGTGTAACTTGGGCACTTAGTGCTCGGTCATTGGCTGTAGGATAATCAGGTGTTCAAACCCTGGGCAGCAACACCTTGGAAAGTCTGTCTCCCATTCAGCTGGGCGCCACAGCAAATGCCCTGCACTGCAATCTGTGTATCCCAGCTCTGCAATAAGCAGAATGACTCAAAGGGGCAACTTTGGCTTTCTTGGTCAGCAGGTACACCATAATTTTGTCAATGGCTCCATATTAGAATAAAAGAAGGAAAAATACAAGACAGCCTTTCTTACGAGTAGGAGGAAAAAAAAGTTAATTCCTGTGAATATAATATCTTAAAACAAAACTCTTGAAGAGATGAAAAAGTTTCAATTTTTCACTACAACACTACAGCCCCTTCTCCCCCCACCCAACCACCCCCCCAAAAAAAGGAAAAAAAAAAGAAAACTTAACAAAAAACAAATAAATAAATAAAACCATGAGTGAAATGTGTTCCTGAAAACTTTGCAGAATTGTGACAGCTTTCTCTTGGTTAAATTGATTGGTATAGCAACATTATAAAATGACTATTAGGATTCATTGTGCACAATAGAAAGTGCTGAAATGTCAGCAGACTGTACAGCAAAAAAGGAATGGGTTCTGAACCCCTGTTAGTCAAAAATGATTTTGTTTCAAATTAGAAATTGATTTTTTTTGGACACAAGCCCTTTCCAGGCTTCCGGCTTCTGTAGCCGGGCCCAGGAGCGATTAACCTCCACCACAGCAAGGGCTGGCCTGATGATACCTTTCTCAAACTGCCTTTTCAATTGCAGCTTTCTAATGTGACTGTGGTCTTAACCAATCACACAAGTTATTTGTCCCTTTGCTATTACCCTACACTTTTCTCATTTTGTTATTTTATTTTAGTGCTGACACATGATGTAAATTTATTGACAAGTTAACAGAAGACTCTGTTAAGCCTTACAGTGTAACCACACCAGTTTTGACTGGTTCTCCGTTCTCCAAAGTACAACGGCTAAGAACAGAGGAAGCCAAAGGCAGGGCTTCCCATTTCTGAAGGTCCACTCATGGAGAAAGAAAAGAGTCCACCTCAGACTAAGTCTCCTCGATTTCATTTTTGTTTCTAGTAGCAAAGTCTAAAAAGACAAAAGTTGTTCTAAGTTGTCCTAAAGCAATGGAAGTCTGCTGAACGTTTGCCTTATGTCAAACGAAAAAAACTTTTGCTTTTGTTTCAAATTGTGGATAGTCTCCCTTCTGAAGTTTGGAATAATTATCATCTCTGAATTATCTGACAGAGGATTAAACAGTTTCTAGATTAATCATAATTAAAACAAAAAACCATGACAATGCTGGCATATGAGGAGGAAAGGCAGGTTCTCAAAGCACTGCCCACTTCTGAAACACATAAATGTGAGAGTGGCTAGAGAGTATGAAAATTTGGTTGCTTACCACCAGAGGTGCACAGTAAAAAACGGTAAATAAAAAAGAAATTTGGGTATCTGCCCCAAAAATCTGAAAACATTTATCCATGAAGATAATATGTACTCTGATGATCACTGATTACAGCATTATTCACAGCGGCCAAGACACAGAAACAACCCAAGTGTCCTTCGATAGATGACTGGATAAAGAGTGTGGTATATATACACAATGGAATATTACTCGGCCATGAGAAAAGATAAAATACTGCCATTTGCAACACCATGGATGGATCTTGAGATATCACACTAAGCGAAAAAAGTCAGAAAAAGTCAAGAACGCTATGACTTCAAAAACCCTATGACAAATGTGAGATATAAAACTGAAAACAACAAATGAACTACACAAACAAACAAACAAACAAAAACAAACAAAAACTCATAGATACAGACAACAGTTTAGTGGTTACCAGAGGGTAAAGGGAGAGGGGGTGGTAGGTGAGGGTAAAAGGGATCAAATACATGGTGATGGAAGGAGAGCTGACGCTGGGTGGTGAACACACAATGTGATATATAGATGATGTATTACAGAATTGTGCACTTGAAACCTATATAATTTTACTAACCAATGTCACCCCAATAAATTTAATAAAACTAAATGAAAATAAATAAACCGATTCCAGAGTATTAAAAAAAAAGGCAATCAGGGTTAACGGTTGTGGAACATGAAAGAAAGATGTCTGGGAAAGAGGTGTGAGCAGAGGGGGCTCGGAGACCTCTTTTTGGCCCTTTGTTTCCTATGCATCTCTTCTGCACAATGAAGCTCAGACTTGTTTCATTCTGCTCTAAAATCCTTCCCTTAATAATTCCAAGAGAGATTAAGCCAAAGCCACCCTAGAAACAACCAGGAAACATAATTAAATTTAACTGCTTCACTCAACATTTCACACAGTTATTTATAATTGATTTAAAAAAAAATCTACCACATATAAAACAGGAAGAATTACTGGCACTTAAGAGTGCTAGGCAATATATGCTTAAGACTAATGAGGTTTTGTTTTAGCCACAATGTAGAATTACCCATGACCTCTCCTCCACCCTCCCCATATTTCCAGTTAATTGAAGATTAACTGTAGATGTTAGAGTTTACTTTCCCAGCAGAAATTTATGTTCAATTTCTTGTCCTCTTTACTCACTTTGAACATTATTTTGTGTCTATGACCACACTTACTGCTGAATAATTCTTACAGTTTGCTGCTTCCAAGAGAGGAACAAACTGGATGGTTTCTCATGTGAGCATTCTGAGAGAAATGCTGATGGAATTCACTGGGCTAGATGTGCTACCTATGGCCTTATAGACACATGTCAACGTTTAACGTGTCTAAATCTTGCTCTGAACTGTAGGAAATCATCTGGAATTCATGGTTAGCAGCAACCAGCAACCACCTGCCCCCAACAGCTTCTCATTTTGCTACTATAAAGGCAAGCTTACCTCTTTGGGGTTCATATGTATCTTTCTTTTGACATGTCCACAGGGCATCGTCTTCTCTATGTGACTGAAACCCAACTGTCTTCTCCCTTTTGTTCTCTCCACTGTTAGAGGACTCTTGGTACTTTTTGATGGATGACGATGTTCCAAGAAGCCAGCCATCACATTTTGACTTTAACAAACTGAAAAGGATAAATATGAATGAGCTGCAGAGAGCATAGACGGGGTACAGATCACACAAAGGCATAAAATTCAGCATGAGTTGAAATGCAATTCACGGCAGTAAAAATTTTCTTTTTGTTCTTATTTTTTATTGAGGTATAATTTAAATAATTTTTACTGAAGGTCTATTTTGTGTCCTGCCACAACAATTTTGGAGAAGAAATGGTCTTTGTCCTCAAAAAGCCTATATTTGGAGTTGGGGAAATGGGACTGAGACCCATGAAACTGCTAATAAAGCCACAGAGTATGACTAAGAACCAGAATATCTGTAGAAGGAAAAAGTATGTGAAAACAAGATCTGCATAACTAAAATGTTCCCAAGTGCTAAAAATGAACATTAGGGATTAAAATATCACCAATTTGCTTCAAAATGCATTTGTGTTTCTCGTTTTCAACTGTTACAGTATTTATTATGTACTGAGTATATAAGGAGCAGTACAATAGTGCATGTGTCTTCTACTTGGTCTGTGTCCTCACATAATATAAAGTTCATTATAAAGTCAACAGAGTCAATATGGAATAAAATGAATTTTAATGAGAATAAGCACATGTACATATGTTTTTCTCTCTAATAAACTGTTCCCACCTTAGCACATTTCCTCTTGTAACATTTTATTTTTTAGCTAGTAATTTTCTGATGATGTATATCCCTTACTATTCCCCCAGCCTCTTCCTTCAGTTCACCATAGACTCATGACACTTCGGTTTTGTCTCCTCCATGCCCATAAATAATGTGAAAATTAAAGTAACAAAAAAGACTTTTACTCAAAAAAGCAAGACCCTAAATTAAGATGTTTAAACTCCCCAGAAGCAGAGGTAATCTCTAGACTGAGTACTACTGGATCCATTACTAATCCCAGGAGGCCCTGGACCAGAATTCAAATTATGTAAATGCATCAGTCACTGGGTTTCTATTTGTATTGATCAGGGTTTTTAGTAATGTTTACTCATATTGTAATTTATTAATAAAACCAAGACATTAAATAGCTTTATGTTCAGGGTGATATAAAGAAACAAAAAATGATTAGCAGTATAATGTATTGTATTTTATATGGGTATATGGGTATAATGTATTGTATTAAATTTATACTCTTAAAACTTTTTTTTTTACCAGAACCCAGGGATAACTTTCCCATGTAGACCCACCAGTAGATGTGTATCTTAGCTCATATAACTTCTATTCATGGAATAGGAAAATAGAAGAATAAAACTACTTCATTGTGAATGTATGATAAATGTACCTCAACCCAGATGCCTCAAACCCAGGCAAGTCCAACAACTACATCTCTGCTTGTTCTTAAAGGAAAGTTAATGTGACCAAGACTACTTGCTTCCCTGAAATTCATTCATTGTCAGCTCAGCTGAGCTCCAATACTAGCCAATGCCGATCACTCCCAATAGCAATTGATTCCTGATTCTTTGCTCCATTTTACACAGAAGCTTTTCTGTATCTTTATTCCAAACACCATCCTAGTAATCCTCTATCTCAAGAAGGACGTGGTTTCTAATTTCCCTAAAATAAAGAGGACTATATAAAAATTTCTTCTTTCATTTGAATTTATGTCCATCTTTACCTATCTACTATTCCTCTCTTAATATCTCAGAAGAAAATCATACCTTTCATTCATACTCTTGATACCATTTTGACCCATGCCCTCTGTGACTACAGCCTGTCAATCATCTGTTTTTCTTATAACTTACAAACTCCTCCTCCTCCTCTCAACTGGATTCTTTCCTAGGATTACAAACCAGATCAGACTTTCCATTAAAAATAAAAACCTGAACCTAAAACCAAAATCTCTTTTCTTAAGTGGGAAAGTATAATAATAATCAGTGTTAGCAAGGATTGGAACAAGAGCATTTTAACACACTACTGAAGGAAATGAAAATTGGTATGGCCCTTTTGTGGATGATTTGTCAATATAAAATAAACTTACCCTCCTACTAATTCTACTTCAGAGAAGTGGTCTGATAGAATTACATAAACAATAGCATGAGAATATCTGTTTAAGCATGGTTGTTGCAGAATTATTTGTACTAGTGAAAAACTGAAAGTGAAAATCATTCAATAGGAGAATAAATAAACTATGATATATCCATCATAAAGAGTACTATTTAGCCATGAAAAATAATTAGGTATGTAATTCTCTATACTATTATGGGGAAACTTCATGACATACTAGTAAGTAAAAAAGAAGCAATTTGTAATAATAAAATATATAATGTGATATCATTTAAAAAAAATATAAAAACATTTTTTGAAGTTCTGAATAGTTAAAAACCAAACCAAAGAAGTAGAAGAGTGACTGAGGGAAAGACTTAAAATTTACTTTATATATTTATGAATGTTTTGATTTTTTCCACAGGCATGTACTTTTATAATTAAAAAACAAAAATTTTCTCTATCTCCTTTACGTTACCATCTTTTCTCTCCTTCCCTTCTCTGCCAAACTTTTAGAAAGGACTAATTAGTTTTAACAGACATTACCTACTAAAACTTTTTTTTTTTTTTAAAGATTTTACTGGGGAATTGGGGGAGGGGAACAGCTTTGGGGAATCGGGGAAGGGGAACAGACAAGTTGCTGTCCTTTTGTTCTTTAGTCTAATTATGTAGGATGTCGCTTCACTGGCCCATGTTGGTATTATCATTGCGCTCTTCCCAGGTGAAGCAGTCGCTCACTAGCCACTTGGCGGCCGCTCATGGTGGCTGACGGCAGCTCATGACAGCTGCTGGCCGCTCACGCTGGCTGCCAGCCACTCACAGTAGCTCACCACAGCCTACTGCAGCCTACGCCATCGCTGGCAACTCAGGGCAGCCCAGATCCAGGTAGAGCTGTCATTCACCATCTTAGCTGTAGAGAGCGCAGCGTCACTGGCCCACATGTGGGATCTGAACTGTGGCCCTGCTGCTCACAGCTGGTGCTTCCAAGCCAACTCTTAACCAACGCGCCACATGGTCGGCGCTAAAACTATTTTTTTAAAGAACAAATCTAGTGGCCTTTTCTGTTTCAACAGTCTTGCTTGTTATTAGATCATGTCTCAGCAGTTGACTGCTTTCTTAAAACTTCTTTTCCTTGGACTTCATAATACATCATCTTAATTGTTTTCCTAGTTTTACAAGGCTTCTACTCAGATTCCTTGAACTCTTCTGTTTCCTACCTCTAAATGCCAGGCATTCCTGAAGAGTCTGTTCTTGTCCTCCTTCTTTTACCTCTTAGCACTTTCTCAGTGATCCTTGTCACACCATTGTATCTTCAATTGCGATTTCTAAATAGATTCGTCCAGCCCACAGTGCTGTCCAAAACCGCTAACTTGATCAAGTATCTGCTGAAAAGCTACGAAGGGATGTCTTGTCATACCTCCCAAACCCACTCATGTTAAAGCAATGCATAGTCTTTATCTTGTAACTAGTTCTTTCATCTGTTTCCATTCTCATTTAAGGAATATCACCATTCTCCCTGTCGCTCACATGAAAAACTTCAGTTGTCTCAACTTTTGGTTTCCTTATGAATTGCCAAACTAATCACTCATTTTTATGTTCATCAGCTATTTATTGAGGTCATACTCTATGGCAGGATAATATGCTATGGGGCTGGGATGGGCCAACATGGAAACAAATGTTCAGTACTTGATACATTCTAGGTGCTGGGTATACAAACATAGGTATTCAAAGACCTGGTTCCTGTTCTTAAAATGATTTTAATGGTGGAGACACAGATGGAAAGAGATCATTTGAAATATGATATGATAAATGCTATAATTCAGAAATACACAAGTTGTTATGGGAACACAGAGGTAGGGCACCTAACTCTCTGCATAACTAATGGGAAATTCCTGAAGCATTCAAACTAAATCTTGGCAGTTAAGCAGAGGATAAAAAGGGATGGAAGGCAGAAAAAAACAGCACTAGCAAATACACCAACTAGTAAAACTCCATCATGTATTTTGGACAAATTAAGTAGTTTGGTATTGTTATAGCATCATGTGTGGGGAGAAGTGCAAGTGAAGCCAGACAGAAAAGGGAAGGTCAGATCATAAAAGGTTTGGTTTCTCATGTCAAGGGGCTTGAAATCTATCTTGTAGGCAAGGCAGAGTCATTGAAGGGCTGTAAGAGGAACAATGACATGATCCAACTTGAATTTATAAAAAATTACTCTGGCATCATTTCGAGAACAGACTGCAAGAAGCTGGATGCATTGAAAGGCTGCTGAAAAGCTCTGATGAGATGATGAGGGTCTGAAATAGAGAAGCAATAGAAGGAATGGAAAGGAAATAGCTTTAAAAACATATTTAGGATTTAAAATTGGCAGAACCTGATGAGGGTTTGAATGTGAAAAGTATGTGTGGGGGGGAGGAATTGAGGATGATTGACAGAATTTTGGGTGGATAAGCAATACAGAGAAGAAGCTTTGCGGAGGGTGGGAGAAATTAAATGTAACTTGAGGTGCCTACAAAACATTTGGGAAGATATTTCAACAAAGCAATTGGATCAATAACTGTGTCACTTTTTGCTAGGTGGCTGACTGACTTTTGGGTGGTGGGGTTGAGAGACAGTTGAGGAAGTATATGCCTCACTTTCAATTTTCTTGGTGAAAAAATAGGTTAAATCATTGCTATGAGTGAGAGAAATGGGGATTGAGAAAGGTGAAGGTGTAGAGTATGTATTGAGGGAATTCAAGATAAAAATGACCAAGACTGTCCTGTAATGTTGAAGAACTAACAATTGGAAATCATAAATTTGTATTAGGGTTTAGGTGCACAGATGTAAAAGCAGAGAAAGCAGGCTGAGAGATTGCTCCAGGGTTAGGGTTTTATTGGGAGGATGCAACAGACTGGAAATCAACTCACCAGTCAACCTCCAACACCCTCCACCAGTACAGTCTCCAGTATGAAAGCCCGCCTCACCCAGCACAAGGTCTGATATTCTGTGCAACGCTGCCCTCCTCTGTGGATCAGGCGC